CCCACTGGCTGGTCGTCCTGGGGGGCCGCGGTGCACGCCTCGTCGCCTCACTAATCGGAACGGTAAACTCCCGAGATTGGGGAACCCGCACCTGTCATCAGAGGACAGGTGTTCTCTCCACACACAGCACACGTGCACACACACGAGGCCCCGGGCCAGACAGAACAGCCTGTCAGCGAGGGCCCAAGATGCAGGATCATCTGGGAACACGCATGGGCTCCTCAGCTGGGGTCCTGACCAGCCTGCAGGAAGGGGAGGGGAGGGGAGCCCATACCAATGCCCCCGGCTCTCCGCTGAACGATGGGACCAGGACGAAGCATCTCCTCAATGGGTGACCTCGACACCTAAAACCCCGATGACGTTCCATGGGGACAGTGGCCAGAATGTGCCACCAAACCCCAACCTGTCCATACTTAGCCAAGAACAAAGGATCCCAGATGTGAAATTTCCACCCGGGGCCTCAAGGCAGGGAACAGAGGCAAGAGGCTCAGAAGGGGCCGGAAGACCTCGCCTCCCTCAGCAGGTCACCGTGTGGGACAAGCCCAGGGCGGGCGTCCCCCTGGCAGCATCATCTGCCCCTGGTACGTCGGCACCTCGGACGCCCCAAGTTATAACAAATGAAAATAACTACCTCTTGGGGTCTGAGAAGCATGACTTGTGCCTCCCCAAGCCCAGGGCCAGGCTGGCCAAGCGGGCCAGTAGCTGCGGTGTCTGCCCAGGGGTCAGGGTGGCCTGGAGGGGGTCCTGCCCATGCAGATGTGGCATGAGAGCGTGAAGAGAGAACGTGGCGGTGTGGAGCGTCACTCAGAGGCGGAGCCAAGACTCACAGAAACCGCACAAGCCGGGAGCAAGCCCACGCACTCACTCCCGTCCCGGAGAACGACAGGACGACAGCGGGGAGCGCCCAGGGCCCCCTGCCCAGCAGCCCTGGTGCCACGTCTGAGGTGGCCTAGCAGGGCAGCCATGGAAGTCACCGTGGGGAAGGGCTCGGCATCACGGTCCTGTGGACGTATTCGTTCAGAGCGGCAAAAGCCACTCAGAATAACCCAACTGCCGAAGAGAGAATAGAGAAACACGGTGTTCACGGTGTGTTTGTGGAATGTTCTACAGCAGCCAACACATGCACTCGCTGCTGGGGACCGTATGGGGGCATCCTCCTAAGGGATAAATCCACCCTCCCAGAGCCCCGCCTCTTCCAAGCCCCCAGCAGCCTCATCTGTGCCCCTTGCACTTGTGCGTGCGTCCCCTGCTCCTGTCCTCTGCCCCCGGGGTTGCAGCTCAACGCCAGCCCCTCGTCACCCCACCCGTGGCCCCGGAGGCCGCACACCTTATCCAGCCCTCGGGGATGCTGTGATCTCCAGCCCCGCCTGCACCCTCCCCACAACACACACACAGACACAGGGTCGGAAGGTCTGCAACACCCCAAGAACGAAGACCGCAAATGCTTCTAGGAGGAGAAACACAAAACACTCCCCCTGAAGTAATACCCTGCATCGAAGAAAGCAACAGAGCAACGCTGGCAGTCAGGGGACCCGGAGGCAAGACGGGCTCCCACCTGCAGTTCCAAGTCAGCCAAGCCTTTTGCCAAGGAGAGGCACAGATGCAGACGGACAAGGGGTCGGGTACTTTCCCACGTACGCGCCGAGCATCCCCCAAATGACGGAGAAACAGGACCCGGAGCACACAGGCCCGGGACCGGGAAAGGGGCGCCTGGTGCCCAGGGTGGTGCGGGCGGGAGGGGCCCGAGCAAGTGGGAAGACGGGGCTGGGGGGCGCGCTTCCAAGGGGAAGAAACAGCTGGACTAACCAGGACCATGTCCAAGGTCTGCGGATGAATCGGCAGGAGCACACCGAGAACGAAGCAAATGAAGACAAGAAGCAAAGGTGAAAATCAGCCAGAATCACAATAGTGATAAAGACCTGCAAAGAAAAAAATCAATCGACTGGACTTCGCTGAAATCAAACGCGTTTGTTCTTCTAGAAACACCGGTCCAGAAATGAAAGGCCAACGAGACTGGGAGAAACCGTCTGGGAGATGCACGCCTGACGGAGCACTCCTGTCTGGAACACGGAGAATTTCTACAACTCCATCACAGGACAGAAACCTCACCGAGAGGAGAGAAGAATGTGAACACACACCCAGCCAAGGAAGGGAAACAAGCACACGAAAAGATGCTCAGCGTGCCGTTGGTTCATGAGCAAGATGCAAATCTGGAAATGCCCAAACTGGAAACAGCCCAGACGTCGCTCAGCAGAAGGCAGAACAAGCCGGCGCCCCCACCCAGCGGGAAGCCCTTGGCGCCAAGGCGTGAGGGACCACTGGCACGCGCAGAGACGTGGCTAACTTTCACAATAATTTTGCAAATAAAAGCAGCCAGGCCAAAATCACAGCACAGTACACGCCACACGATCCCACCGACACCCAAGGCCGGCAGACACATGCTAGCTTCCTGTGCAGAAAGAAGCCTGACTCCAAGGTCACGACGGGTCACTGCCCGATGTCCGGAACCACCAAATGCACAGAGGGGGACAGTGGATGAGTGGCTGCTGGGGGCTGGAGGAAGGGCCACTGGGGTCCAGGTCCTCCAGCTGGAGTGGATGACGGTTGAGCTTCGGAACCAGACGCTGGTGCAGCCCTGTGAATATGCTAGAAAACCACTGGACTGTCCACTTTCAACGGGCGAGTTTCCGGCATGTGGATCACGTCTCACTAAAACTATTACCAGAAGAAGAGATCTGCCTGCAGGAGCAGGGCTCACACCAGAAGAAATCCCCATGGGTTGTGCTCCTGGCTCCTGACACAGCCCCGAAATCCCTCGGGAGCCCCTGAGTGATAGGAGCGTCTTTCGTCCTAATGTGGCAACTCTGGGTGGGCTCCCAGATGGGGCTGGTCACCAGGAAGACCCCCGACGACCAGAAGCTGGACTTTAAGCCACACCCCATCCTCCAGGGACAAGAGGGGCTGGAGACTGAGGCACTGACAGCGCCCACGGGATGAAGCCTCCACAAAAATGCCTAAACCACGGGGTTCAGAGAGCTTCCAGGTGGCGAACACACCCACCTGCTGGGGGGATGCCCCAACTCTGCAGGGACAGAGGTACCTGAGCTCGGGACCCTCCCAGATCCCACCCTATGTTTCTCTCTGTCTGGCTGTTCAACCGTATCCCTCGTCGTACCCTTCCAAATAAACTGGTCAACGTAAGTAAGCATTCCCCTGAGAGCTATGAGCTGTTCTAGCAAATTATCCAACCTGAGAAGGGCTCATGGGAACCCCTGACTTGTAGCCAAGTCCCACAGAAGTGTGGCTCACTAGGGACACGCTGTTCCAGGTAGATGGTGTCAGAGCAGGCCCGAAGTGTGGGTGCTCAGAGAACGGGAGACCTGGCTGACCGAGGGAGCCCCACGTTTGTGGCCAGAGTACGTGGTGAGAGGACATAGGTCTTAGTTTGCCTGGCACCTCGCTGCCACCTCTGTGGACACGCACAGAAGAAATTTCCACCAGGTGCCAGACCCCATGCTCCACGTAACCTCAGAGACAGAGTCCAAAAACCCACAGAAGCAAACTGGAAGCTCCCTGATTCCAGCCGGAGCTGGGACGAGCCCCAGAGCAGTGAGAGGCCGGCCCTCCCCCGGCGTGCTCCCTGCCTCACTGCCCGGCTCCGCGACACAAGGCCGTCCGCCGCCTGCCGGGCCTGCAGTAGGGCGCACCCTGGACTCCGCCACCAGGAAGCTCTGGGACCTCACCGCAGATTTGCACACGCCCACCTTCATCCCGGGGCCACACAGAAGCGAATTTTCCCATGGGCAGATCCTTGCCTTTCTGTGAGTGTGACCACCGGGCCTGGTCCCTACGGCAGCCACGTGACTGACCACCACAGTAAAATGCCCCCTTCGCAGATAGGAGCCCGTGTGCAAACTCACGTGGGTCATGCATAACACTGATTCCCCTCCGAGGCGGTTGGGGACCCAGACCATGCCCTCAAGAGCTGTAGCCAAGGAGGCCCAGGAGCAGCGGGCAGGCCCACCTGTGGCCTCTGATCCCCAGGCCGGCTGGTCCATAGGCACCCCTTGTCACAGAGGAGTGCAGGCCTCCGAAGCCTGAGTGTCCTGCATGTCACCAGCGAGGCCGCGCCGGCACCCCTCACCCCCTCAGCACCCCTCAGTCCCTCCACGTCCTCCCGCCTCTGCCAGGGGGAGGTCGGCTTGGTGTCCATGGAGGCCAGACGGCTGCCCTCCCAAAGCTAGGGAGCAGCACAGCCTTTCGGACGCTGCACGAAAGCCTGCCCATCACCCATGCAAGCAGAACCCAGCCTGTGTGCAGGGTCTGGCCCTGGTCACGCATTCCACCCAGCCTGTTGCCCCCAGCCCCAGAAGTCTCCATAGCTGCATCTGTCACCCGGTGCCCCACAGCTGCCAGCACGCCCAGGGCCTCTGGGCACGCGAGGGAGACTTTCCCCGCTTCTGTGCGCCTGGGTTAGGGGCGACGTGAACTCACGGTACAAAATTTGCAAAACAGCGAAAGCATAAACAGAATGACCCATCCCAGGAGCTCCACCTGCTACGCTCCTGGGCCTTTCCCTCAGTTTATCGTGTGATACGCACGCCGGTGCGTCCTTTCACAAAACCGGGTCACCCTGCGCAATGGGTCGGCGTCCCGTCTCCCTATAATACCAGGAAATGCTCCTCATCACCTCAGCTCTGCTTCCACATGGCGCCCCACACCAGCCAGCGGATCCACCCGTGTCCTCACCCCACGCTGCGCCTCTCGGGGGGCTGACCCACCAGCGTGCGCTCTGAGCAGCACTCACGTGCAGCCGGGCATGTATCTCACAGCCCTCGCCAGCTCTTAGGGTCACAGTCCTCTCAGAAAAGCTTCTTGTTTGATAAGAACCTGATCCCCAGTGGAAGCAGGACCAGACACAGGCCGGGACCCCAGCCCCACCCAGGCACATGTGAGGACCTGGCGGCCATCTGGGGGTCTCCGCTGTGTCGGGATCTTACCGAGTTCTTTAGAGCCCTGGCTCTCGCTGGCTAGCTCACCCATCTTCACGAGAGCGTCAAAATAGCCTTTGGCAGCGTAGGTCACACCTGGGAGAGAAGAAAGGGGCGGTTACTGCCCGTCCTATGGACGGACGAGACCCTCAGCACCCACACAATGGTCACGGTGCACACCGGCCCCCCACGGTGCTCCACGGCCCTTCTGCCTGGGCTGAGTGCTCCCCGTTTCTGGCTGACATCCTCCTCTTGTTGCAGTTGTGAGAGCTGCTTTTCTTTTCAAGAACGTGGTGCCAGGTCAGGCCCAGGGCTACTCGAGTCAAACTGCTGGGTGCTATCACCAGTGCCTGGACCTGGCGAGGGGTGGCAGGGCCCACCAAGTACATGAGACAAGACCCTGCCAGGCAGGAGTTAGCACAAAGCCATGCACACAGAGACTCCCAGCCAGCCGCGGACAGACAGTGCCCCTCACCTCTCCAAGCTGAGCCCACATCAAGGGCCTGCCCCACGGCAACTGCGGCCACACTCGATGTGCACCTGGCACCCCAGGGAAGAGCCCTGTGCCCGCTGACCCTGGGCGAGCCCGCAAACACTTGGTCTGCGCGGGGGCCCGCCCGCCCTGCAGACTTGGCGGGGGGGACAGGGCCAGCCACGGGACAGCAACATCTGATCCGCTCCCTCCAAAACCCAGGCCGGGGCGCCTAACCAGGCACGTCATCCCATTTAGGTGGCTTCCAACGAAGTGCGCGCCCAGGAGCGCGCCCTCGGTGCCCCCAGCGGCTGGACGGCGTTGGCTGCCAGGAGGGGTGGGCTGCTTAAAGCTGACCAAAGCCAAGCCTGGCACAAGGGTGGCATGGGGGAGGCCGAGGGCAGCTGAGGGGACGGTGCTGACGTGGCCGGCTGGGCTCGGTGCCACAGGCCAGTCCGGGAAAACGGGCAGCGGAAGAGCCCGGATTCTGCACACACAGCCCCCCCGAGAGCCTCACGGGGATCCGCAGTGGGCGCAGAAAGGCCCGGAAGGAAGCCTGGCCTCACATCAAAGGGGAGACCAGGACTGCCTGGGGGTGAGGTGGCGTCTCCCCACGAGGAGGCCAGGTGACGGTGAGAAGAGAGAGGGGCCCCGTCAGCCACGTGCGAACCCCGCACGCGTGGGGCACAGACGTCAGCCCCAGCCAGGGAGAGACGAGAGCCTGGTCCTGCTCCATGGGCACCACGAGGGGCTTTGCTCGGAGGACCTGAGGCCCGGGCGCCCTCCTCTTGCCCCTTCCCTCCACCAGCCTGCAGACCGGGTGCCTGTCCTGCTCGCGGAGTGTTTCGGGGCAGCAGACCCGACTGGGGATGTTCGCCCGGAGGCCGAGCCGGCTCTCAGCTCCTGGCAGGCACAGAGCTCATCACCATGGCCTGGGACCAGCCGTTATCTTTAAGACCCTACAGGCAGGGTTTCAGCTCGAGGAAGGAACAGAACCTTCCAAGGAGCAGCTGTGCCTCCTCTCTTGCGGGGGACTGGTGGGCTCCCGGGGCAGTGTCCCCGTGTGCAGGGCTACGGGGCAGGGGCAGGGTGGAGGGAGGGCAGCTCGGGAGAGCCTGCGGGGTGCAGAACACGGTGTGCGCCCCCAAACCAGAAGGCAGCGCAAGGTCCCTCCCCTCCACACCCACGTGGAAACAGGGAGATGGCCAGGGGCTGCTGGTCAGTGCCATCGACCCCAACACAGAGGAACAGAGGAGCCCTGCCCACACTCTTGGCTGGATCTGTGTGTGACATCAAGACCACTCTCCTTCAAAAGGATCAGTGTGCAGCTGCACCTCCTGGGGGAAGGGCCATGGCCGCGGTGCAGAGCCACGTGGTAGACTGGCGTATGACCGATGTCCTCCCTGCCCCCGAGACACGGCAGGTGGCGGACTGTGGCCAGACACCTCCAGCTGCAGACCAGCAAGGCCGCTGTCCAGGAATACACCAGTTCCACCGGGTGCTCTGTCCCCAGGCGACCACGGAGACTGCCCAGCGCCACCCTCTCCTTGCTGCCTCCAACCTGAAGCCCACCCAGCAGAGTCCCCATGGGGCCACGGACACACCAGGGCAGCTGTCAGAGGCTGGGGTACACTCTACAGACACAGCCTCCCTGCTCGGGGTACGGGCTCTGCTCACAAGGGAGCCACAGTTCAAGCGACAGCCTGACACCTACGCTGGAGGGACATAGGCAAGGGTTGGGGGGACCTGCATGGGTCCCTGAGAACCGGGCGTCCCTGACCGCAGCGTGACTCAGCCGTCCCTGCTGGGAAGGAAGGGCCCAGACGTAGCCACAGCCTGTGCTGGTACCAACGTCCCCTCCCTGAACGAGCCCAGGGCCCCAGCGCCCTGAGTCCCGGCTCTCCGTGAGGTGCAGGCGCTCCCCTGCCAGGGAGCCGTGCAGGCCCCAGCCCCAAGCCCCATCCTGCAGCTTCAAGACGAAGATTCTTTATTATTTTTATTTTTTTAATTTTTTTTTAAAAGATTTTATTTATTAATTTATTTGAGAGAGTGAGAATGAGAGAGAGAGAGAGAGCGCGCACATGAGAGGGGGGAGGGCCAGAGGGAGAAGCAGGTTCCTCGCTGAGCACGGAGCCTGATGCGGGACTCGATCCCGGGACTCCAGGATCATGACCTGAGCCGAAGGCAGTCGCTTAACGACTGAGCCGCCCAGGTGCCCCCAAGACGAAGGTTCTGAGGACAGACATCCACGCCCACCCTCTGTAGGTGCTGTGGGCGGACACAGCCCAGACGCCAGGACAAGGCCAGGGACAACAGTGGGTGCAGATTCCAGGGCTCACAGGCCTCCGAGGTGTGGCCCCACACCCTCCCTCCTTCTATTCTAACCTGGCTCCGGGAGCTGGCCACCTGCTGCGAGGGCGTTGCTCCCACCCCGCAGCCTTACCTGCCAGAGCTTTCTCATAGTTCTTCCCCATGGCAATGAAGTTCCGGAGGCTGGGGTTGAACTGCTCCATGATGGTCTGAGAAAAGCAAGAAGAGAAAGGGCATGAGTGACCCAGGTGACCTAGGGACCCTGGGAGTGTTCCAGTAGGAGGAGAAAATCCAGGTGGAGACCACGAAGCCGCAGTCGGGCTTCTGAGTCCAGACCCGAGCCCCACCCTCGGGCAGACCCCCCCAAGCCTCAGTTTTCACCTCCGTGCAATAGCGACAAGGACGGAGCAGTGCGTTGGGGCTTTGCGGCTCCAACAAGAGAATGGCGAGGGCGCCGCACAATCGGCGCTCAGAAGTGCTGCTGCGGTGCCGTTACCCCGTCTGGGGGGCTGAGTCAGCTGAGGAAAACCCTCCTGCCGGCCACACACAGCCGCACGGCACCGCCCGGGGCCCCCTCCCACGGAAGTCTTCCCTCAACACATCAATTACCAAACATCAGCTCTGATTAGCGGGACCCACAGCCTGATCTGCAAACACCACGCTGTGAATAATCCAGCAGGCCGGGTCTGTTTGCCCAATGGACTGCAGTTGTGCGTCGGAAGAAATTAGATTTTCACCGTCAAAGCCAAATAAAGGTTTTAATTATAAAGCGTAAAAACAGGCGCACGGAACACCAGCAGAACGTGAGTTCCACCAGGCAGCAAGCGCGGCCGGCCGAGAGCCAGCCCGGCCAGCAAGGACGCTGCGGGAATTTTCAAAGAAAACCTGTCTCAGCCACATCCTATGTGTGCAGGTCCACGATTACAACGGGCGTCTGTCTGATCTTTCCTGAGGATGAGAGAGAACAGGCGGCCAGAGGGGGGAACCCCCTGACCCTGCCCCAGACCACGGAGCCCCAGACGCTCCTCTGTGAACCGAGGCTGGACACCCTCACCCCCGAGCCCCAAAGTGTGCCCAGCTCTAGCCCCAATAACACCCTTCCTGTCCCCTGTCCTTGCCTTCGGCCAGTGGGGAGGGCTCTGCGTGCTGCTGCCATCCGCCCACCCTGGGGTGTCAACACAAAGGGACAGAAACCCGCACTTACAAGGGATGAGGCCCTGCATCGGAGCTCCCAGCTACTGACATACGGGGCTGGGCCTCAGGTTCGTTGAGGGGGTGCCCACCAGGCTCCACACCACGTGGGGAACAAGGAAAGGAAACAGGGCAGGTGTGCCTTCCTGTCTGCATGCAGCAAAGGTAGCTCTGCTCCGTGTGGGGCCGGCACTGAGGGACGCAGGGGACACAGCAGTGACCCGGCCACAGTCCCATCCCTGTGGGGCTGACAGCCTGAGAGCGAAAGCACGCCCACACCACACAGCGGGCAGTAAGCACCCTGTGCGGGCAGAGAGCACAACAGTGGGACTCTGGCTCACGCAGATGGGAAAGCAGGGGAGTGGGGCCACGGGCAGGCCACAGCAGGGCAGAGGCCTAGGGCCTAGCCCCTGGGTGTACCAGGGACAGCCAGCGGCATGCAGGCTGAAAGGTCGGTGAGGAGGAGGGAACAGGCCAGCCCACAGCCCCACAGCCTCACCACCTCACAGACTGGGTGGGGAAGGCCCTGCTTTCCGAGGCCAGATGGGAAGCCGAGGGAGGGTCTGAGCAGAGCCATGTGGTCCAACGACATTCCAAAGGGACCCCTCAGGCTGCTCGGTTAGACTCTCAACAAGGGCGCCAACAGATGAGGGGACCCCTGTTGGAGCTGCTCGGGATCTAAGAAGTGGGGCCCTTGGGAGAAGGGGCTGGGCCTGCGTGCCCCGTATACATGGCGCCGTCGTGTGGGGACAGATGGGGTGTGTGGGGCCGAGGGGCAGGCAGGCGGCTGGTCTGGAGACCCAGGAATCTGGACACACCAAAGCCGGGGAGGGCCTGGAAACTGGAATCGGGTTGCCCCAACAGGCAGCAGGGTCAGGCAGACAGGGAGGATTCTGGGTAGGAAGCCAGGTTTGGGGGGTCACCAGCCAGGGGTGAACACAGGGCCTGTGGGGGCTCAAGCTGCCTGCAGACCTCGGGACAGGGGGGCACTCAGGGTTCACGTGTTCTTTCTCTTCTTTTTAAAAGATTATTATTTATTCCTGAGAGAGAAAGAAACAGAAACAGAGAGCATAAGTGGGGGGGTGGAGGGGTGCAGAGGGAGAGGGAGAAGCAGGGGAGGGGCTCGATCCCAGGACCCCGAGATCATGACCTGAGCAGAAGGCAGTCGCTTCACCGACGGAGCCCCCCAGGCACACCATGTGTGTCTGTTCTGTGAAGGAGTCAGGGTGGGATGGGGCCTGAGCCCCGTGTCCCAGGTGCCTGCAGGAGACCGTGTGCTCATGTGGGTGTGCACGCAAGTCCACACGTGCACAGAGTTTCAGCATAAAGCCTGTTTCTCGCTGTGGGGCTGGGCCCAGGTGCGAGACACTGCCCTAGCAGGTGCTCAAAACACACCCACCTTCCCAGGCCCGCGGCACCCCCAGCCTCCTGGCCAGAAGAGCACACTCTGCCCAAGCTCATCCTTCGAGCCCCATTAACATCCTGAGTGACAGCCGGAAACAGGCCAGGAGCCGCCCAGGCCAAGCGAGGGGATCACCAGGGCAGCCCGCGCACACCCTCCCAACGACCCGCGGGGACAGCCGCCGGGTTTTGCTCCCTCAGCACGAGGAATGCGGGAGTGAGTGGGCAGGGCGGGATGGGCGCTGGGCTGCCAGTCAGGCACCTGGGCAGGGCAGGGGGCCGGGACACCAGGCCTGGCCACACAGCAGCTGCCGTCTCACCTGGACGCGGGGGTAGAGGCAGAACTGCCCTCTTCCCTGCGGCTCTGTGCAGAGGCCCGCTCCCCAGCCTGAAAAGCAGGCCTCCTATGGAAGCCTGAGGCGGACAGTCACCCACTGGCCTCCTAGTCACTGGACATCCTAGAACCCCGGCAGTCCGAGGCCCGGCACGGGGCTCGTCTGCCCTCCCCACACAGCCCGCGCTGGGGAGCCCCGTCTACACCCACCCCACCACCAGCTCCGCTAACCAGGCCCTAGGAGGGGCCCCGGAGCCCAGGGAGGCAGGAGCATCACACGGAGGAGGGCTCCTCCCTGAACCGGGTCCCAGAAGTATGGGGATTTTGCTATCTTTTCAGGGCCCTGCATGGAGGGAGCTGAGAGCCCAACACCCGAACACTCCAGCAGGGGTCTGTTTACTTGGGGAGGGGAAGGGAGTTGCTTTTCCTTGTGGTTACCCCATCCCGGGAAGGAAAACAGGAGCAAGGCCAGGGGCAGCCTGCCTCCTGTCCTCTGGCTCACACCAGTCCCGAGACGCGGGGGCCCTGGAGAGCCTCAGGGTGCACAGAGGAGCCCCACCACCCCACGCTCCAGGGCCACGTTCCCGAGCCAGGACACGATCCCACAACGTGAGCAATGACCAGCTCTGACCCCTGTGCATGCAAATGAGATCCCCAGATTGGCTCCAGCTCTGCGGCACCACGTGGAGCCTGTGTCTTTTATTCCTTTGGCAGCTTTTGTGGGCTCAGAACCTTCCTGAGGACCCTTGAACAGCACAGAGCTGCACGCGTCTGCTTACACGGGGGGTTCACTGGACACAGGACAGCACCGTGAATGTGATCTCTTTCTAATGATTTCCTTTCTTCTTCTCAAGATTTTGTTTATTTACTTATTTTAGAGAGAGAATGCGTGTGCACGTGCGCGTGTGTGGGCAGGGGGAGGGGCAGAGAGACAGACCTGACACGGAGCTTGATCCCACGACCCTGAGATTGTGACCCAAGCCGAAACCGGGAATCAGATGCTTAGCGACTGAGCCAACCAGGCGCCCCTCCAATGATTTTCTACAGCTAACTCCATCGTAAGAATGTAGCACGTAACACACCCGACTGGTCACGTGATCGGTAAGGCTTCTGGTCAACAGCAGCCTATCAGTTAAATTTTGGGTGGAGGGAGGTCAGCGCCCTTAACCTCCACACTGTTCAAGGCTCGAGTGTATTTGGCCCCAATCACTTCACTCACTCATTGGTTCATTCAGCATCTGTTACGGAATGCCCCTGGGTGCCAGGTGGGCTGCTAGGGGATCTGAGAAGGGCTCCTGGATGCCCCCCCAAGATACACACTGAGAAAGGGTTGGAGTGACGAGGGGTCCCTGCCAGACACACTCACAAGCTCAGGCATGCTGTGCAGTCACCTTCCTGCCAGGAGAGCCCAACACTGGATGCTCCGGCCGCGCCTGGAGTCTAAATGAACCTCCACAGCAGAGGTGTCCCCAAGGACCCCAGCCGTACATTTCTATAAGAGTAACAGGTAAAGGACGAAGGCCCCTGTGCAGGTGGCTGTCGGCAGGACCCACCACGCTGGGAGCCCTGGGAGCCTTCCTGCCTGGGTGGCTCCAGGACGCTCCCAGCCTGCCTGGACACTAACGGGCATTTTGAATTACTTTGTGGTCACAGATCTGCCTGGCCAGTGAGGAGAAAGGGCAGTGAGACACCCCTGTCTCCACCTTGGGGGAATGAGGAGAGTGGCCAACCCATTTCTAGAAAGGCGCTCTGCCAAGGGACTTTGCTCCAGCCTGCTCGTGGGCCCGTGTCCAGGTCTCCCGCTTGCTAGCTCAGGAATCCTGTTCATGCCTCAGCTCTGGTTCCTGGTGATGGCCCCCCTCCAGCACCTTCCTGGCAGGGCGGTCACAAACAGCAAAGTTTCTCTGCTGACAGAGGGGAAGTGACATGCCTTGTGCTCCCCCCCAGCCCCGCCCACGCAGCGAAGGCCGGACGGGGTGGGCGCGTCTGCCTGTGTCCTGTGCACACACACGAACGTGCTGTCTGGCCGAGCCAGGCTTCACATCTCTCTGTGCACTCGACACCTGGAAGAACTCTAGACAACATGACGGCGCTGGGACGCCACCCGGCCTTTAACCCCCGTCACCCTGCACCCTCACCCGACGGATCCGGGAGTGCCGCTGCCCCACTGTATAGACGGACGGAGAGAGGCCTGGGGAGGTTGAGAGCCTCCCCGCTAGTTCCGGGAGGAGCCAGTCCCGGCTTCAAGCGCAGGCTGGCCGCACAGCTGAGCTCACCCCTTGC